TTGTAAATACTACTAACCCCGATTTAACTATAATAAAATTCACCGACCAAAGAGGTCACCTTAAAGAGAAAAAAAAATAAAATAAAATTTTGATTATTTTATATATATATAAATAATTTATTTATATATTTTTATTATTTAGGCGAATTATTTGATGCTTATTTATGTAGAACTATTGATCACAAAATACGTATTGAAATGGCATTACGTGCTTATTTTTTTTTAAATATTTGGAAAAAATATATTGAACACTGTACGATTCAATATTTAACAAAATAGTATAACTTACAAAAAAGCTTTATATCGCGATATTTTTATTAGCATGGTAGAATCTTTGATAATGCTTGTTATAGCACATTGTGAATATTATTCACTGTTTCCCTTATTACTATGGGAACACGGAACTGAAGCATTAGAGCATATATTTGGAATTTCATGAAGAATACTTCCTGATTTTAATTTTTATGAGTTTTTTAAAATACAACAAAGAGTGTCATTTCGGGATAAAATTTCACGTGCAGGACTAATTGATACTAGTAGAGAACGAAATTCTGCAGCAGGCATTTAATATATTTTTTAAACTAATTTTAAAATTTATTTTTAAATAATTAATAATATAGTATTTTTAGGTTATATTTTCGATATAGATAATGTATCACTTTCACATGAAATAATTGAAAAACTTCGCACATGGCCTACTAATGAAGATATCCAAGAGTGTGCAAGAGTTGCATTTAATGAATCCGTATTATTAGTAAAATATATTGATGAATTTTTTATTCCGGAATTTACTAAATGTATAGAACAAATAATGAATAGTAAAGATGATGAATTAGTTGGTAAATATAATTTATTTGTAATATAAATATATTTTTATATTAATTAATTAATAAGTTAATTATTGTATAGAATTAAGTAATATTTCTTTAAATAATGAAGCTAGCTTAAGTCGTTCAATTAATGTTGGTAATGCGGCATTAGAAGTAACACGTATATTATCTAATATATCAAATAATAATGAACAATTACATGAAGATGAAATTTTAAGCGATGATGAAATTTTAAGTGATAATGAAATTTTAAATGATGATGAAATTTTAAACGATGATGAAATTTTGGATACTAGTATTTTGGATGAAGTTTTAAATGAAAACAAAGATTTAAATAATAAAAATATGACACAACAATTACCATTATTTAAAGAATTTTCCGAGATTCAATATATTGTTCAGCATCCTTCGGTTTCTATAAATTTTTATTCATTTCAACAATTTATTACAAATGATACTTTAGATATTAAAACTCTTCTACAAATTCGCCAAAATCACGATGCATTTTCGCACAATATGAAATCTAAACTTAATTATTTACACCAAACTACAATAGATGAAAATAAAATAAACTTATTACTGAAATAACAGTAGATAATATTAATGAAAATCAAAGAAAAAAATGGCAAAATCGATGGGAAGGAAGAAAAAGATTAGAAATGTTGCCTAAAAATCAATTGGGTAAAATTTTTATTTTAAAATTATAATCATAAAATATATAATTTATTAATATTGTTTATTTAAATTTTTAGTAAAAAATCTCAGTTTAGCGAATATATCTAATTTTAATCCTCTGTGTGAAAATGGATTCTTAGTAGTTTATTCTAATAGAATTTTATGTTTGGGAAAAATTATCGCAATATATGAAAAATGTGGACAACGACATGCATGGATTGAAAAACCAGTAGACTTTTTAGACAATTTATCATATATTTCTATTAAAGTTTATATACAAGTAGCGAATCGTATTTTTTCATGTAAAAATTTAGCAGAAGGAAATATTGTAATTCATATTACTCCACAAGAAGTAGTTTATTTTTTGGGTATACGTTCATATAGCAATTTAGATAGTACGATTTCAGTAGATGAAGATACTATTTCAATTTATAATTTTTTTAAAATGCCTTCTTCGCAAGAATTATTTTTAAAAATTTTTAATTAAATAGTTATAAATGTTTAATAAAATATATGATATATTATATATATTAAAATTATGATAAATATAATTATACATTATTACATAATTTGTTTTTAGTAGTTGTTCCGGCAATTTAAATACTATACAGCTTGGCTAATAAATTATATTTTAAAGATATTAATGATTATAAATATAAAGTTTTAAGATTTGTATTTATTGCAGTTTGTATAATTTTCTAATCTCTGTGATTAATTTTTTTATAAATAAAAGATTATGATTGTGATTGCTAAAACTGGCTGATTTTTATAAATTTGAGCTTTACATTTGTGATAATTAGCTAGCTTTAACAATCACAATTGCAATAAATTTTAATTTATATAATATATTGTTTACCCAAGGTACTTGACCAATATGATTCGTATTACTATTAATCTCTTAAAGGTGCCCGCAAAACTGATTCGCTTAATTATAAAAAAGCTCTGATTCACAAAGAATATAATTTGGTATTTTTATGGCGGGGACCTATAATAAAGATTTCCCGGTCCTGTACTAATACGATCACTCACTAATCACATTGAAATTGATGCTTGAGAAGATTACAATTATGTTATAAATTGCATATTTAAATTTTTGGCAAAAATTTTTTGTATAATTATGCTTGAGCACTATTATAATCACTTGCTAATCATATTGAGATTGACACTTGAGAGCAACCTATGTCATCACTACTAATTTATTGCTATATTTATTTAATTTAATAACTAATTGCATTAAAAATCTAAGGTTCTTCAATTGAGAGATTGAAAATAACATCGAATTTTGTGATTCACATAGAACATATTTACTAAGCTTTATTTATTCCAATCACCTTTGAACTAAGAAATTGTTAAATCCTCTTGCAAATACCTAAAAAGATCAATATAATTTTTTTTTAACATAAATTTATAGCATGTTAATGGTTAGAAAAAACTTATAAAATATGATCCATGAATGCAAAAGCTATAATATTGCATACTCATATAAAATAATTCAATGACTTCAATGGGTTATAATAAAATTTTATTGATTTTGAGGGAGATTGAAATGAACATGTCTATTTTTATTATTATAATTATCATTATCATCATCATATGTACTGGAGACATTGCCATATATTCTCTTATCGATGATTTCAATGTTGGCTAATGATCTCTAGTACAAATCTCTTTCCCATACAACTACCTTTCTATCTCTTTTTCTCTCCCATTTCTCTTCAGTAATCACCCTACAATTCTCTACCCACTTATCTCTTCATTCTTTTAATTGTCTTATTTCCTCCTCATAATGCTCTCTCAAATACTCTAGCTCCTTACATTTAATAATGTTTTCAATCTCCAGTACTCCAAATACATTTCTAGGTCCACTTGTTAAAACTTTAAGGATGTAATAATTAAAGCTTCAACATGTAGTAGCTTAGTAAAAAAACATGATTATCATATTTGTGTGAATTAATGTTATTTCAAGATATACAATTTAAGGAGAATTAAATAATTCAGAGCTGTTCATTATTATCTTGATAAATGAATCTCAATAAATTCATTAAAGATCTAATTGGCCTATCTGATCTGACAGACTTATCTGTTTATCTGTTTATTTATTGAGCCCATTGAAAAAAATGCCTAAAAGTTGACCATAATTTATTTTTAAAATTCTTCACTAAATTAATTATTATTGTTCTTTTTGTTTTGTGCGGCTCAGAGAAGTTATTTCGCACAAATTTATATTTATTACTATATAAGTTATTTAATTAAATTTAGAATCTTTCTATATTGTAAATTCTTTGCATATTCCACATATATATATAATTTAACTGAATTACAAATCATGACATTTACAAAATTCAAATATATATATATAAGTACACAAAATTTTCTGACCGTGATCCATTTAATATTAATATAAATAAATCATGAAAACATTGCCGAATGAATGCCTCTATGAAATATTTAATAATCCTTGAACATATCATAAAACTTTATTTTCATGCCTTCTTGTGAACTGTCTATGGTGTAGAATTATCATACCAATATTATGGAGTGAGCCAGGTGCTCACTTCAAAGATAAAAGGCTTATGAGATTATGTCTTTTGGCATTAAATGATGAAGAACAAACCTTATTAATCCCTTTTAATATAAACCTTCCAAAATATTTAAATACACTATTTAAATATACAAGTTATATTACATCTGTCGACAATAATTATTTAGCTGTTGGAATTAAAATGTATTATTTTGAGTTGGTAAATTATGGAAATTATATAATAATAAGTGCTATCAGGTGTTCTTTAATTCTAATGTTTTACGATCTAGTAAAGGACTTAAATATTTAAAATAATATAATGAATCCATATTAATAGAAAGACTTTGTAAAAACTAGTGATGTGAATTCTCCCAAATCATAATTTCTCTACCGGTATATACCGGTAGGTGGTAGCTACCGTTAGCTACCACTACCGGTAGTATAGCAGGCTTTCATTCTGATTAGCTAATTCTTCTACCTATATATATATATAGTGCAAGCCGTACTCAACCAATCAGATTTAATAAACTGCTAAACATCTACCACTTTATACATTAACCTCACGGTAGCTGGTAGCTACCGGTAGTTACCAGCGGTAGATAGCTACCGGTAGCTACCAACTCACATCACTAGTAAAAACACATCTACTGTCTCTTTAAAAATTTTTGCCTTCTTAAAGATGAATCATTATTTAATATTTTGAACAAAAGCATCACTCTGACTTCATTAAGCTTAATAACAATCAACTTGGTCCTGAGAGAGTCAAATTGTAGCAAAGTTTCTCTGTAAAAACAACACAACTCTAACTTCTCTAGATCTTTCCCAGAGTCAACTTTCTTCTGAAGGTGGAAACGTATTAGCAAAAGTCCTCTGCGAAAATACTGTGACTTCATTAAATCTTGGTTGGAATAAACTTGGTTATGAGGGTGGAAAAGCATTAGCAGAAGCCCTTAATATAAATGCTACACTGACATCTTTAAATCTTCATTATAATGAGCTTGGCTCTAAGGGTGTGAAAGCGATGGCAAAAGCTCTATGCAAAAATTCTACATTGACTTCTTTGAATCTTTCCACTAACCAACTTGGCTTTGATTTTGAGGGTGTGAAAGCGTTAGCGGAAGCTCTTTGTAAGAATACTACTCTAATTACTTTAAATCTTTACGGTAATAACTTGGGATCTAAAGGTGTAAAAACGTTAGCGGAGGCTCTACGCATGAATACAGCTCTGACTTCATTGAATCTCAGCTGTAATCAACTTGTTTCTGAAGCTGGGAAAATATTAGCGGAAATCCTTTGTACAAATTTTACTTTGACGTCTTTGGATCTTTCTGATAATAAACTCAATTCCAAGAGTGCTAAAATAATAGCGGATGCTCTTCATATAAATACTACTCTAACTACTTTAAATCTTTATTGTAATGAATTTAAATCTGAAGGTGGGAAAGCGTTGGCTGAGGCTCTATGCAAGAATCATACTCTGACCTCTTTGAATCTTGGAGTAATCAGCTTGGTTATGAAGCAGGAAAAGCATTTTCAGAGGCCCTTTATATAAATACTGTTTTGAATTCTTTGGATCTTTCTTTTAATCAAATGGTGGGAAAGCGTTAGCAGAAGCCAAATGCAAGAATGCTACTCTGACTTCATTAAATCTTACTAGTAGTTACTTTGGTCCTGACGTAGGGAAAGCATTAGCAGAGGCCCTACATATAAATAATACTTTGATTTCTTTGAGACTTGCCTTTAATCATTTTGGTTCTGAGGGTAGGAAAGTGTTAGTTGAAGCGCTACGCAAGCATTCAACTTTAACTTCTGCTTGTGTCTTTATTAATAATTGACCTGGTCTTGGTGAAAGAATTCATTAGCTTTATTCTGATATCCCTTATAGTGTTATATTTGAAAGTTATTATCATGGTGTTAATACTCTGAATTTAATAAAATTTATTAATAAACTCTATATTACATATCAAAAAAGATTATTTGAAATCATATTAAAATTCACGCTATAAGTCATTTTTCGGTTTAAAATTAAAAATTACCAAAAGACCTTGAAAATAATCTTAAGTCGTAAAACTAAAACATCAATTAGTTCATAGAAATTTCTTCACTTCCTAATTAATAATTATATATATTTAACACTATAGTGCATTTAGGATTTGCACAAATAGAGTATACAAGACTCGGGTCTAATACATTACATAAATTTTAAACCTTTAAAAAATAATAACATGCAGTTGAGGGTTATATCGTGAAAAGAAGAAACATAAAGTTCATACGCACTTTCTATTAATAATAATAGACTATCCATTCTCATTTGATTAATGTGATTTCTCCTGGGTCCAATTCAGAAATTTGAGTACGCACTATTACGGTATTGTCTTACTAAATTGTTACA